CCTGCCCCTGCCCCTGCCCCGCCGGGCCGGGGCGGCCGCCGCTGCTTCGCGTCCCGCCAACGGGGAGCTGAGGAGGCTCCGGTAGGCTGGGGAGTCGGGCTGGGCTTTCATGTCTCTGAAGTAAAGTGTCGCCCATCTCCTCCTCCTCTTCCTCCGTGCCCCCGCCAGGGGCCAACGGAGAGGCCCCGGGCCGCAGTGGCTTCTCCAGCGGGGCGTCAGCCTCCAGAGCTGAGGTACTGGTCGTGTCTCCCCTCAGCGGGTGTCTCCCCCACGGTGTATCCCCTCGGTGGGGTCTCTCCCCCAGTGGATATCCCCTCAGTGGGTCTCTCCCCTCAGCGGGTCCCCCCCACAATGGGTATCCTCTCAGCAGGTCTCATCTCTCCTCAGCAGGTCTCATCTCTCCTCAGCGGGTATTTCCCCTCAGCAGGTCTGTCCCCTCAGCGGGTCTCATCTCCCCTCAGCGGGTCTCCCCTCAGCAAGTCTACCCCATGGTGGGTATCTGCTCAGCAGGTCTCTCCCCTCAGAGAGTCTCTTCCCCATAGTGGATACCCCTTCAGTGGGTCTCTCCCCTCAGGAGGTCTCACCCCACAACAAGGTGCTTCTCCCCACATACACCTCAGAGGGAGGGTTAGAAGGGCCGTGGCATGCAGCCTCCATTCCCCGCAGGCCCAGGCAGTGCTCTGTTGCGAAGATACGAAGGAAACTGATATTACGACGTGGAACACCCACACATGTCTGCAGTGGGTGAGGAATCTGGTTTTTAAGTGGGGGCCAGGGGTGTTTTTTCCTGTCAGAGCTGTGGCTGTAAAAGGGGTGTATTTGATGCAGAACTTGACACATGAAGCCTAAACCCATGCTTTTTATAGAAATATAGTCTGCTCCAGAGGTAGTGAAGTCCACAGAAGTGTGTTTGTTGGCTATTTGTTTATCATGTGTGGTTACATGGAGATACCACAGAGTTCAAGCATCCCACTGCAATGATGCTGTAGTATCTATATGAAGACGCAGGTGTGATGAGGTAACCGAGGGAAGTAAACTGTGCCTTGGTGAAAATGGCAGATCCAAGATGCAGGGGGGGACACAGACACAACGATGGGACACCCCAAACCCGGAATTACTATTAAGGACATAATCCTGTAAATGCTGTGAATTTAATGCATAAAGTTCATATCATGTGAATAATCCCACTACAATCAAATATGCTCTTCTGTAAAGCCTGGTTTCGCTGAAGTAAGAGTGAGTTTTGCCTGTGGATTCGTAGGGGTCACCTTATTTCTGAACGTGTCAGAAGGTTGATCCCAGGGCTATTCAGAAGAGAGAGCAAAAACCAGTTTTTGCATTGAAGGACTAACCAAACTCCACAGAGGTTTCTGCCACTGACTTCAATAGCCTCTGGATCTGTTACAATTTCCTTAAACCCAAATCCATGAGCACTTAGAGGAACACTTAGGGTACTGAAAAAGGTAGCAGAGTTCAATTACATTACAGTAAAATCCAAGATAAAGTAAAAAACACAAACCTGCGTGCTTAACTAATGTATAACAAAAGCAGTGAAATCCCCCATCCAAGCTGACATTCCTCACTTAACTCTCATGATTATGGTCAGCTTTTGAAGTGTCTGCAATACATTTTATTGGGAAGTTGTACAGGCTGGTACAACATGTTCTATTTAGGCACAACAGGATGCGGAAAAGGTAGCTTTCTCTTCTCTTTTTTTTTTTTGTCTTTAATTTCCTGGTTTATTTATGTTTTTACTAAGCTGAGGAAAAAGCAGAGAGATTTGTATCCTGTATTGTTTGAAGAAAAAAAGGCATGTATTTTAAATACTCAAAGCTAGATAACTCCTTCAAAAGAAGAAACAGGTTTAGAGTTTTTTTCCCCATGTATTACACAGAATACAGTTCCACACTCAGTAGTTTCTTAAAGGAGGACAGAAACTTGTATGCAATTTGTGTCACAGAACATAATGTGTTACAGAATTAATTTTCTGCTCTCCTTTGCTTCAGTTCATGCAGCACCCCCAGGTTTATTCTTTGATTAAAGCTTGTGTTGTCTACCTTGGGAACTGAAATGGTTACTGCCAAACTGCTCTGCCTTTCAATTTACAGAAGAATTAGCAACGATATTTGTAGCCAGCTTGCTAAAATAGACCTTGCAGACCCCTTCCCATACACTGTAGAAGTGTATGTTTAGCAAGGTAGTAAAAATATTAATGGGATTTTTTTGCAGAATAATTACTATTCGTGGAGAGCAGCCACATTTGATACTTGACTATAAAATCAAAGGAAGAGCAGGACTGGGGTCAAAGCAGTAAATTAATTAGGAAAGAGTAAGATAAATAAATGCAATGAGCAGATCTAGATACTGCATATCCTCTGCCTGGGGCAATTCCATTGGGTAAAGAAAAGATCAAGACAGCTGAAAAAAATTTGAAGTAGCAATGGCCATGAATGAAAAATCAGACGTGAAGAATATGTGAGGATAAAGAAACAACAGAGCCTTGAGCTTTAATAAATAATACTTCTGCTTCCTTAGCCACTTCCCACCTTGGGATCTCAAAACAATTTATGTACAGTAATGAATTAAGACTCACAACCAAGGTCACTGTGCATCTTCTTTTTCCCAGACAGTCTCTTTTTCCAGTAAGAGATGTTGTTCAAAGGATATTGATGGCTTTCTGTATTTGTTTGGGATTTTGGATGCATAGCAGCCCTGCTGGAGCAGTAGCTCTAACCAAGCTTCTGTATATCCAGAAACCAGACACGTCCACTGTGCATGTGCAGGGAGCCCTTCTGCCTTTTGTTGCATGGCGACCATCTGTGCCACACATGCAAGGAATGTCTGAGGTTTCCCGGCAGATAAATAGGGCAACCTCCTTTGTGAGGGGGTGAATAAACAAATTTTCTCAAGGGGAGCAGAGGATGGTTTATTGGTTTTTATCTTTGATTGTTTTTACTTAAGCTAGTATTATTATTATCTTTTGCAGTACCACTTCCAGGCCCTAGACCCTGTTTGTGCTGGATGCTGCGTTAAGAAGTATGTAACAAACCCGAGTCCTTGACCTGAGGAATCTCACTGCTCTGTCTTGTGGAAGGATTTCTAATGGAAGGCAACATGAATGAGGCAACAGAATTTCAGTCAATGTGTAGAAGTACATATATATTTTTGTGGCAAGTTTAGAATGGTGGCAGAATGAAGGTAAGGGTCTAAGGATAAAGCTCCAGACTTGCCTACCTGGGTCTTGGGATCAGGTGCCTAAATAAATGATGTGATTTTCAAAAGAGGAAGTACCCACCTTTTCCAGTTATTGTTTATTTCTGTGTCAAACGTGTATCTGCTGGTTTTAGTAATCCCAATGTGGATTAATAAGTAGGAAGCAGAATTGTTCTGGCTCACCTCAGACTCACAGGAACCCCCATTTGGAGAGGATTGCTGTGACTAAGATCTGTAGTCCTTAGGGGAGGAAGTTATGGACAAGCATGTGCAAACAAACATCAGAGCTTTGTTGACTCTCATGTATGCAGTTTTGTCTTGGTTCTGTCCCATTTGAAAATTGCAGGTACTTATTCTCCCTGAAAAATGACACCTTTCCTCATCATGGCTAAGCACAGGTTTGAGTCCTAACTCCAATTGTTCATGCTAATACATCTCCAAGTACTAGATGCTGAATGAGGAATAAGGAGGGCTTCTTTCTTGGGGTAAAGTGGTGCATAATACAGTCGTCTCCATTTGTAACCTTTTTTTCTTGGGATTTGAGCTAGAA